GAAGCTGTGCCGGCCCCATCCCCGTCAGTCTTCAAGGCCAGGCTGGACAGGGATTGGAGTAACCTGCTCTAGTGGGAGGTGTCCCTGTTTGTGGCAGAAGGTTGGAACTGGATGGACTTTCAGGTCTCTTCCAACCCAAACAATTCTATGATTTAAAACGTGTAACGCATCAACTTATTTAAGTTCAGAAACTTTTGTGATCAAAGATGACTTCTTGCACATACTTCCAAAGGAATTACATTAAAGTGTGCAATTATCAAGTCAAGTATGTGTGCGAAAACAAAGGAATATAGAACTGTCATGAAACTTTTCTACCCTGCTGTTCTAAATCAGGTCATCAGAAAAAGAAAAGGAAAGATTAGAAGACACGGTAATTTTTTGTCATTAATTGGCTTTCAAGCATTTAACACAGGCTTATCCATCCTATCCAGTAGAGTACAGTTTGTACCAAGAACTGCAGCAGCATCAACTTCCATGTTTTCCATCACTGTTATAATAAACATAATGTATCCGATTTTTAGATAACATGACTGAAAAGGAAAGGGGGTGGGAAAGTAAGTTTAGTTCCAAGAAAAACAGAATACTTGGAAAAAAATTTTTATTAAATTTAAGGAATATCTTGGAGGAATGCAGTTATTCTGCTAACTGAACAGGTGCAGAAAGCATTACTGGATTTCTTACCCTGCATACTCAAAAGTTGGTACTCTAGAAGTTAATTACTTGAAAGTCAGAGGCTACAATTTTAACTGCTGTCTTAAATACTTCAAAGTAATTGCATTTAAAGAGAGATTACTGCTTATTTCTTCAAGGAAAGGATAGTGGTTGATTCTGTAATTAAACCTGGAACCTTTTTATTTGACTAAAGAACCTCATTTAGCCTTCTTTATTTTTTTAGAACCCCAGTTATTCCCCTGAAAGTCAAGGACGGAGATTTCTGTTTTCTTTTACAAGGGCAGAAGGTTTCTGCAGGGAGGATGGTTTAGTTAGTCTGCAAAGTGTTTCAGATCCTTAGTGAAAAGCCTCAATTCACAAAGCTGCCATAAAGCACGAGTCAAGTGTCTGATCTTACAGATTTATTTTTGTTATTCAACTTTCTCATCTTTCTTTCCCTCCTAGACAAAACCAACAACGGAGGAATAATAGTTGTTGTCATTGTAGGAGCCATTTTGGTACCCATATTAATTGGTCTGATTGGATATTTTATATGTGGTAAGAAGAGGTCTGAATCGTTTTCCCACAGACGGCTTTATGATACAAGAAATGACCCAGGTAAGGAATAGCCCAAGTGTTTTGCACGAGAACATTTTGTTACTTCTGCACAGAGTTGCTTAAATAGTCTGGCCTTAATCACAGTATCATAGAATCAACTAGGTTGGAAAAGACCTTGAAAATCATGAAGTCCAACCTTTACCCCAGGACTAAAATGAATTCATTAGGAATCATATCATCGACTCCAGTCAAACTAGTTTTCAAGTGATAGTACTTTATTATTTTTAAATTTTAGCTTAAAAAATACTCCCCTTAACTCTGCATTTCCTCCTTACAAGTTATTTTTTTAACCTCTAAAATATCAGTAAATATCGTTATCTAGTATTGGTGAATCTGCTGAAAGAATTGTGGGCAAGTTCAAAACTACAGCTCCAAAGCTCTCTTGAACTTTGACTAACTGAATAAGGCTAGACTCCTTACTCACCCTGGATCAGGGCCTTCATCCCTCAAACAGAAGAAAGAGGTTGACTGGATTTAGCTGCAAGGGACCGCTGAACTAAACTGTGAGTATACAAGGATACAAATCTTTCAAGCAATATATAAAAAATAATTCCATTATCCTTTTAGTTCTCCACTTAGACAACTCACTTGGACCATATGATACAAGTTTTGGATGTGTGTCAGATGAGAGAAGCAGCACAGCAGACAAGGCAGTGGAAGACAACACAGGCTGCCCATCTGATGGTATTCCTGTGGCTGACATGACACCATCCCACTCTTCACTCTAATATCAGCTTCACATTATCTTCTCACGGGTTATCCTCATGCCTTCCTTTTCCCAAAAGGACCTGGCAGCTGCTCTTTTACAGCTATTGCTGTGCAAACAACGTTTTGGAAAGCAAAGGGGAAAATCACAAGAAAAAGGGATAGGCAGCAGGCAGGGCCCCTATCACTGTTCTACTTTGTAATAAAGTGATCAACCTATGGTTTTCCTGGAAGGATATTATACTTGTTTTCTTAGAGATAATATAGACAAATAGCATCCAGGTAAAATTCTGCCTTGTGTAACTTTTGGTCAAGAATGTGGACATTCTAACAGGGCAAAATTTGACTAGGATTGCAATGACATTTTACAGTCAATACAAAAAATTCCTAAGTTTAACTACCTTGAGGTGAAATTATGATGTCTAAATATCATTTCTAGATGATAAATTACAACGGGCATTATTTTCCTCACTGTACATTTGTACATCAGTGAATATAACAGAAAGAATTAGATTTACTTGGATTATTCAGAGGTTGAAGCGTCATGGAGAGAATGGAACCACTAAGTAAAAGGGCCTACATTTCACCTTTGACTATCATGACACAGAGTTACAATCACTCTCAGGAGGAAAAAAAAAAACAACAAAAAACCAAGCTTCTACTCCTCTGGCAAACTGATCCAGTGTTTGCACCAGAGGCTAGATCTTCTGAAATGATGTAAAAGGTTTTGGAACAGCTTAGATAGATAGAAGAAATACCTATCTTAATATGAAAGGAAAGGACTTACAGTTCAGTTTCATCAAGCTAGAGAGTAAAATTATGGCAGGATACTGCAAACAATTGCATAGTTTATCTGTCTGCAATTATCAGACATGTCCAAGCAGAGAGAAAGAACATGAAAAAGATACAGCTGTAAAGGCATAGAATAAACAAAGTGCAAAGAATATAATCATTCACATGGGATATGTGCTTGTCGCTATGACTCTGTTAAAATGTTTTATTTAGTATGGAAGCTGTGGATCCTGCCTGTGGAGTTATCTCACTAACAGGCTGTGAATGTTGCAATGAGGGTTTGATATGTGAGTAAACTAGATGCACACGCACACATCAGAGAGAAGCAACAGCAGTCACGCCACCAATGAATAAACCAGATATTTATTTAAAAGTATTTAAAAGATTAAAGAATTGAGTGCATACGTGCAGTGTTGTTATTCCTACAGGATTCAGTCATGAAAACAGCATACTTCCCATCGAAACCAAACCTGATTTCTAATGCTGTACCCAGCACGTTGGATAGCAGACGGAAAACCTGAGACACATTCAACTATACTAAATGAGTGCCACTCTCCTGCTTAAAATGAAGAAAAATGTCATGTTCAGCTTTCGTCTCCCTTAGCACATGTTACACCACCTTTCCTGATAACAGCAAAGCAGTTATCATATAAACAAAATTCCTCCTTCCACTGGAACCTCGGCCTCAGCTGAAAATGGCAAGAGCTTTCTCTAAGAGCAGCTCAAGGACAGAAATTAAGAGATGTTAATAAGCTACCAGCATTGTCTGGTAACTATAACCAAGTGAAATGTATTTTAGGAATTTATGAAACCAATTATTAGTAATCACAAGGCTACAAAAGCAAGATCAGGAGCCAACGAAGAAATATCACTGAGGCAAGCAATAAAGTGTGCCGGTTATATTGTGTTAATTTTTAACAACCTAATTATGATTTTTGCATGTATGTGCATGTGTTTCTTGTGTTGTCAATGCACCTCCGATGTTTTGCTGTTGTCTGAATATTTTTTTTGCTTTTTACCAGGCGAGCCTCCAAAATCTGTGACATTTGTTCATCCTTCCCTTGAAGTTAGAATCATCAATACTTATTCATACATATTACTGAAATAAAGCTGTATATGCCATTTGACTCTATTTAAAATTGTAAAACCCTGGCTTGAATTTAGAGAGTTGTATGCATGTGAACTGGTCTTACTTTCTCAGGGTTTACACAAACATTTACATTGGCAAAATTCATTATCTCTTGTTATAATACTAGTTTTCTCTATTTTCCAGTGCAAAATACTGTTAGCTTCAGTGAAAGATAATTCCAGCAAGTATTCCATGCTGAAACTATTACATGTCTTGTATGACACTATTACACTGACCTTCTAAGACAAGATTGTCCTTGGTAACTCCTGTTCAACAGTAACCTCTGTGGGTTATCACCCTGTTTGGCTTTGGGCCCCCTGACATGATGTGTGTGATATCAGAGAGAATATAACAAGATATTCAAAACAAGAATTTGAATATAGGTATTAAAATTAATAGGTATTAAAATTAATTTAAGCACTTAACATCAAATCTTTCCTATAGTACTTTAGCTCCCACAAGATTGCTGTCATTTATTCTACAACAATTCTCCACAAGATGTCATTTTTATATTGACTTCAGATAAGAAAGTTAACCTCCATGACTGCCTCTTAAAAGACTTCCACCTACATGATATAAAATTCAGGCCTGAAGACATTAAGATGCTGAAGATAGTCATTACATTAATGGTAAAAGGTGTTTCCACCCACTGCTAGCACAGAAATTGAAGTTGATAATACAGGGAAAAAAGCAGTTGTGTGACAAAACCATAATCCTTCTTTAAATTTTATCTAGAGCTATAATCTCCCTTTACCCGGTAATCATATAAAAGGGTCAGGTGAACTAAAAATACAAAACAAATACAAGTGTACTTACCCCAAATTGCCATGAAAATAGCAAAGAAGACAGTTCCTCCATTATCAAACAAATGTGTAACCTGAATAGAAAATAAATACATCAGGAACAAATATTACTGCCACTTTACCTTTTGCCCCAGTGAATTCCAGAGTAGAGAACCAGTCGCAGAAACTAAAAGCGAAGCATTCTAATCAGAAGTCTTACTTGGATGTTTCTTCTTCCAAGATTTATCCCGCTCTGCCTTTCAGTATAACTGGAACTCTGGTTTTCCAGACTGTCACTTCATGCATCTCCAGTCTTTGTGTTTCACAGGCGTTAAGAGTTTCTCTGTTCATGTCCAGACAAGCTAAAAATTCCCTGAAAGTTCTTCTCATATGCTGGGCCAAATTTAACCTCAACATATCCTATTTTAAGATTTTTCTAAGCTTAAATAACTTCCATCTTTTCACTTTTCTTCCTCTGTATATTACTTAATGTCTCTCTTGAGTCTCCTCATGAAGGCTATTCCTTTTCTTGAATTTATCTCTTATCTTACTCTTTGTTTTTAAACATTTTTTCAGGCAGAACAGAACGTTCTGCTGCAAAGTCCAAGGCTGACTGATATAAAATAAGTAATAAGATCATTCTAAGAGTGGGTGAATCTGATGTCTCACTTCTTACGAAAACATCACAATTTATCTTACAGAAATCCACAATTTCTAATATTCAAGCCATAATATGAAACAGTATTTGGGAAGCTGAAATGAAAATTGATGTACTCTCAACAGAATTAAGGTTGACAATTTCAAGCAATGTAATTTATCCAGGGATAAAGGGCCCACATTTTGTCTAATGGAAAGTGGCTTAAGATGTTGCCGTGCATTAGTAAGCAAAGCACAGGCCTCAAATTCATCTTTGAACAAAAAGCACAAATCATTGTAAAATAATAGAGCAAACCAACTTATCATCAACAAGCTTATGTTAGAAAAAGGATCTGAAGAGAGAGGAAAAAGAAATGAAAAAGTGCTGTAAATGGCTTTGAATTGTCCTAAACCATCCAGGAAATTCACGGTGATCTCCTACTCTTTGAAATAAGAGAATGTCTCAAAATGGAGTATTCTTGAAAAGTCTTTACTGTCATTGGTGTTGAGTTTGTTGCTAACTTAAGGACTAGTTTTTAAGCTTTTATCATGAAAAGAAACTTGTCCTTTTGCCAGTGGAAGGCTGCAAGTAACCAGATTCAGTTGTGCCATCCTGTGACCTTCTCTTATATCTGAAGTTACTTGAATATTCTGTGTATTAGGTGTGCCAGGATGCTGGGGATGACAGACTGCCTCAGGCAGGTTACCTAACCTACTCCTATGAGAGCTGCCTGCTGCAAGAATTCATCCTGCTGACATATTCTCATTCTTCTAGAGAAAGCTGGCATCACTTCTGCCTTGCAAATTAAGAAAGCTAACTCAGGAAAGCAGAAACACTTACTAGAAACAGTGTTGCTTGCCTTTATTTTTTATCTTATTGAGTAAAATTATTATAATATTGTGAGAACTTCTTAAAACCACACATTTTATCTGTATGTCATTTCTTTTTTTCTTTTTTTTAAGATTCCGAAATGATAATTGACTATCTGGTATTGAATATCAAAAAATCCACTATGTTCCTCGCATGAATCATACAGTGGGATCAATTGCACACATAAACACGTCTTTTGCTTTGTCTTTCTTCTGCTTCCATAAAGGAAAACACAAACATAATGGGTACGAGACTGTGAATAATAGGTATGAGAGACGAACAACAGCAGTACAACTAAGCTGATGAATATTGATTTTGGATATTCTGCTCAGTAAAGAGAGCATCTTTCCAAGGGAAATACAAAATGAACTAAACAAACCTAACCCAGAAGAATTAATGTTACTAAAAGTAGAAAATATGTTTATGGCTCCTGATCTAGAATTGTCTTTACAAAAAGTATTTGGTGAAAGTCTTTCAGCACCACATTCAGAATTGAGATTTGACTGTTACAGGCTAAATGTGCAGTCTAAGACTGTGCTGACCAAAGGTCTCTAAGAAGAGGTGAGATACTGTAGGACTCAGGTGCTAGTCCATAAGCATACCTGGCTGATACAAAACTTCAGGTACTTCAAATCCACACTGAATCAACACCCTGTCCTGGGGCTGAGGGCAAGGTCTGCTGGGTGCAGGACCAGCCCCAAGAGCCCCAGTGCACCACACCAATCACCCATGGATCAAAGAGTCCATTGAACGTGGAAGAAAACGAAAGCAACTCAGACAGCAACTCCACATTACCTGCCTTTCCCTTCAGTT